GAATCGCACGACCATCCCCCGGCCAGAGGGTGCATGGGAGGGATGGAAGAGGTTGGAAAGCATAAAGTCGCGGGGAAATCGCTCTCGTTTGTCCATAAAAGGCTGCAAGGGAGGCGGCCGCATACCGATAATTCCATGGAGTGCTCCATGGAATTTATGAGGTTTAATCCTTTGCGGAATCCAAGAGAGGCGGCTCTCTTTTCCATCCCTCTCTCCTTCCTCACCACCGTGCCATCGTGTACGACGGTTTAAGAGGGTCGAGGATGATCCCGACCCGAGGGTTCAAAGGTGTGCGAGAGGAAGAAAGCTCGCCGCTCGCTTCGTCTTGCATCATAGCGAAAGAGCGAGCTTTAACGCCAAGCAATAAAACCCGTGGAGTGGCGTAATGCCTATATACGAGTGATGCCCGCGAATATAATACCTTGAGAGAGAGAGAGAGAGAGAGAGATACGTAGATATACAGACTGGAGATGCATTCCAGAAGGAGGAAGGAAGCGGCGCGCTTATTTCCTGCGTTATTCGGCGAAAACGTAAAGCGGAAATTAAAGCCGATAGACCGGACAATGGCACGTGGTCTAGATAATTATGCATGTTCGTTTCGAGAACTTATTTACATATCGACATTGAAATTGTCGCGAATTATAAATTGTCTGACGTGTATTTCTGGTCGGGAGAAAGAGATGCGCATCAAATATGCGACTCGTTTCGAGAATACGTGATAATTCCAGCGGGAAATTAATTCCGCGAGATCAAAATTGTTGTCGTTAGTAGATAATCGTGTTTAATATGTAAATATTTAAGTAACGACATATCGATGCGTCGTATATATACAGGGTGTCCGGTAATTAACGGACCAACGATTACAAGTGGATTCTTTGGTCAATTTGGAAACGATTTTTCCTCAGCAAAAATGTCGAAAAAGGTCATCATTTTTTACAACTTTCCAATATTTGTCATTATGTATCTTTATAACTAAGCCTCGAATTAACATTTTATTATAGTAAACTCTACCTGAAATTAACCGAAGAATGTAATTATGTTAGACTTTTAACTCCAAAACGTTTGGTTTTGGAAAAAACCCATTTTTTCAATCGCTTATAACTCGAAAATTCTTGACTTCTCAACATTTTTGCTAAGGAAAAATCGTCTCCAAATTGGCCAGAGAATCCGCCCTTAATCATTGGTCCGTTAGTTACCGGACACCCTGTATATGCGTGTATGTTATTTGTTCACGTATTAATTGTAAATCAGTCTGCAACGAAACGCGAAACCGAAATGCAGATTTTATACGCGGGATACTTTTCTCCTCTTATCATTTCCGCCGGATAAGATTATCGACAAATTCCTGAGATTCTGTCCCCTCGTGCGATTTATTCGCGCGGTTTTTCCGCTTAAATAGCTGCGCGAGTTATAACTTTCTCGTATGTATCGCACTTTTTCACGAGACCGTACAAGTGCAGAATCCAACAACTTTCTCGCCTAATTAAAAATAATTGAATGCAAAATCCGCTTTAATTCGCCAACTTTTAGACGGCCCGTGACAGCAGCTTGTAATTATGCGCGTGAGCTATATAAGGCGCGCACTTTGCTAAAAGCGTTCTCTCTCTCTCTCTCTCTCGTCGTTTTTATCGCCGTACCTTTATATTTTTACGACGAGTATGCATCGCTCGGTCATGACGGATATACGGCAAAAGATACGGGTGGTATGTGCCGAGTTTTTACGCCGAAAAGAGAGAGGTAGCGCGAGAGAAAGGAGGAGCGAGAGAACGATAAAAGCGAAAAAAGAGGGAAAAGAGGAGAAAAAAGAGCAGAGCGATCTTTACGCGATTTATTGTAATCTCTCCACTAAAACGCGGTATGCAACAATTTGCAGTGACATTTAGCGACGCGTATATTCGGTGCTCGTCGATCGTTCGCGATACGGACGGAATCGATCCAACGAGAATGTATATATATATATATATATATGTGTGTGTGTGTGTGTGTGTGATGTATATATGCGCGAGCCATCAATGTTATAGCTCGCGAATTCGTCGTTAATGCCCCTTAACGTCCCTCCACGACGACCCGGAGAAGAGAAAATGTTCGTCCTCTTATCGATCGCGCCGTATTCGTCGCTCATTTACCGTCGACGGAATAATACGCGCTGCCAAGTGCGTAAACGATAAAAATTGACGCCGCTAATATCGCGGAAGACGCACGCCCGCGTAATGGCACATCGCTAATGCACCGTTACCCGAATATACCTGTACATGAAATTGTGACATTTGCGCGCGTGCACGTACGCACGTGCGCTATTATGAAAATTGGGTCTTTGTGAGTTTAATCGAACGACCACCGACCCGCGAACCAGTTCTCGAACGTTTGCCCGTGATGATGCGAGAGAAGAGAAAGGGTACACGATGAGATAATAATTGGACGATTCGCTCTTCTTCATCATCTCTCGTTCGTCGCAGTTGTCGCCGTTAAGTGCACGCGCGCAATAAAAAGGATCCGAGCAAAAAGAAGGATGGATTTTCGATAATTTCCCCGAACACGAAATCGATGTCCGTCGACATATTCGACTTCTCGCCCGGTCTCGTAAATTCCATCCTTCCAATGAAAATCGTGTTTTTTTTTTTTTTTCGCGAGCGAGAGAGCATGAGAGAGCATGCATTATCACTTTGCCGAAAAAAGTGTCTATCGACGTTTTTTATTACCGTCGCGAACGCGTGTCGTCGCTAATATTCCGCGCTTCTGCGCTTTTGTCGTTGCTATTCTTTATGTCTTTTATAGATCGACGTAATCTGATTATTCTTTATTTTGGTCGAAAAAAAATTGGTTCCTTTAATGGATGGTTATATTACTTGCAAACGAAGATAGATCTCTATATAATTTCTCCAAAGATTTATATACGTTTCTACGTCTTTCGACGGAAAGCTTTCTCTCCTAAGACTATTAATTTTCTTCGCGCTTTTTGCGACGCGTTAGTAGCTTTCCGCCGAGCTTGAGGAATATTCGATTCCGAGAAGATAATAATAAGGTCGCGGCACACTGTCGATGAGCATCAGGCGAAATGGGGGATGAGCCAATTTTAGATGCACTCTGCGAGCCCCAGACGAGACGAGGGCGTGATAAAGTCGGGGAAAACCACCGATGACTTTCCGCGCGACCTCGGCTGACCCCGAGAAGAGAATCCTCTCCTCTCTTGGAATTTAATAAAAATCCGAAAGCTTCCGAAATCGAGCTCGCAGTTCGCCGAGGAACATTATGCGCTTCCACTCTCTCCTCTCGGTATGCACTGCTCCCTCCTTCGATTCTATTTCGCTTTACTTTCCCTATCGCGTTTCTCGTCCCTTTTTCCTTTCTCTTCATTCCAATATTTCGTCGCAAGAGAGACGCATTTTCACCTATCCCGAATAACTTCCAGACAAATGGCGTCGCCGAACTCGGTGCTTGGATACGCCATTTCGCGGGAATTGAGGTATTTGTTATAAATATTGGTAATACAACGCACGATATGTTATTCTGTCAACGGATCACAATTGCATATTGTTTCTCGGAGATTGCGGGACTGTGGATCTCAATTTAGATTAGTCCCATGCAAGAATAACATTACATGTATGTTACGTCGTATATAGATTACATAGTTTATTCAAATTGTGAAATTACACGGAAAATCTGTATTCATTCGATATATCGAACACTTTTTCCCCACTTACATGTTCTTTAGTAAATTATCGAGATCGAATTTTTCTTAACGGAAATTTTAAAGATAATTTTTTCAATTTTCAACGTTAAATATTTTCCTATCTGAGCTTCAAATTAAATTTCCAGTAAAATAAATTCCGCTTGAGAGATTAATTAAAGATTCAATGGCTGTTGAATGATGCATATATGCTTTTATATAAAATCATCATAAAATCAAATTTTATTCGCATCAGCAGAATAGCCATATTGTACTGGAAAATTTTTTGATATTTTTCAATTAGCATAAAACGTATACATAACAAAGGGATTTGAAAATATTCCGCTTTGAATTTTGCGAGAATTTTTCAAGTGCTTTGTGAAACCATTTTTTTCCTGTTTCTTTTTATCGCTCATATACTAAATGCACCGACTTTCGCGATATGCGAAATTATTAATGCTTATTATAGAGAACAATTGTGCAAAGATTCGCACAATGGCGAGACGCGAAAATCAAGTTAATTATCTCTACGGTTCGTCCCGGGTTTAACATTGCCTTGCAATTCTTCTTCGTGATCCAAACGTGAGGGAAGAGAAACGGCGAAATACCGTGGGAGAAAGAAGAAATCGGGAGCACGTGGGCTACGGAATAAACGGGATTGCGCAGATCCGAAGCCGCGGCCGGGCCGAGAGGCCGGGTTAAATACTTTCCTGCTTCGGTATTCAGCTTCGTTTACTCGACAACGCAGATTTTCCCTTTGGTACGATTCGCAAATGCATTCCTTTTGCGCCGATTCGCAGAGGGAGAGAGAGAGAGAGAGAGATGGGCATGGATCGATTGTACCCTTTGGATTTATCCCCCTGAGAGACCGCGGGCGGTGTTACACTTTGTGTAACTACGGCGCAACAAAACGGAACTACGAAGCTCCACGAGTTTCAGTTATCTGTGCCTCAAGCTTTGCAACGCGCGCGCGCGCGCAAGCATTCTTAATATTTTATCATTTAATTTAATTAACATTTTATCTTTTCCTCCATACACATTACGATATTCATTACGATATTGTAGATTAATTCGGGAACTATTATGCGCGTCGAAAGAAGCGCACTGAGAAAAATCAGTTTTGAATTTATAAAAAGAAACATTTGTTGAAAAAATGTAATACGATGCATCTCAATCGCTATCGCAAGTATTCTTAATATTTTATCGTTTAATTTAATTAACATTTGACCTTTTCTTTCATATACACATCGTAATAGTATTTATATTGTAGATTAATTCGGAAAATATGATGCGTGTCGAGAAAAACACATTGAGAAAAATCTATAGTACTTACGATGCATCTCAATCGCTATCGACATCGACACAGGCTGACTGATGTTGTTGTTGGATGCTTGACACTCGAACGTCGCGTGTAGATCCGCTCTTGACAATTCGCTGACGAGAAGTGTGTTCTTACGAACATCATGGGAATCACCTGACTCGTCCTTAGAGTCCAAAAGCGTCTCTCCACGCCACCATCTCACTTTAGGCTGTGGGCGACCTGAGAACAAATATAAAATTTATCAGTTTAGAAAAAAATAGAAATCTAAAAGAGTTTTATTTAAAATAATTTTTTAAATATGCCGCTATATAGATTAATTGCAATTTCATTATGTTATAATTAGACGCATAAAAATAAAATTAATTGCGACAAGTTTTCCCATTTTAAATATAATTTAATATCATGTCGAATATTGCGAGTTATTGGAAAACATATATTAATTAAAGAGTTAATAAAATGAATATAATTTGACTAAAAGCACAAGATAAGTATTTTATAAATTTGGACAAATTATGAGACGAGAGCTATTTATTATTTATATATATGTAGTATATATAGCTTCGAGTTTTAATATATTTAGCTCTCGAGAATACTCGCGAGAGAGCTTATGGACTTGTGTGAACTACTTTGCGGTGCAAAAACTACCTGCAATATTCCGGCATCGGCATATCTGCAACACTATCCGTGCAATGTATCGCTCACCCGCCTTCTCTCTCGCTCCCACACGTTTCTCCCATCTTACACCACTTCTCCGCGAACGATCGCCGTGGGTTTCATGCGTATAGATAGCTAACGTACGTATACACTCGCCCTTTTCCCTCGCCCTACATCAGGTACAGGCTTCGTGGTACGCGTTAATTCATAATTCATAATGGTCGTTGCGTGCGGATAATCCCCAGAGGGTGAATATCCCGTTAAAGGGAGGCGGCGAGGCGGTCTAGCTTATGCGCTGGGGCGACCTCATTATTTTTTACCGGACCTATTTTCGTTCAGAAGGGACAAGCAGAAAAACACGCGGCGTCGTGGGGAAAGGAAGGAGAGAGAAGACGCTTATGGGCGTAGGAAAGAGAGTGGAATTGTAGGTAGAGCGGTGAGAAGTGTATAAGATAGAGAGCTCTGTCGTGTTCCTCGAGTGGCGAGCACATGCGAGGTAATAAAAATAAATTTATTATTATTATTGCCCTCGTGTCTTGCCGACGCGCGCCCGGATATTAAAATGTAATAGAATAAAGGGGCGCAAAACGCGCGGAATGCATGCATCACGATTGCGGCTAAAGCCGCTCGATGCTTTGTCGAAGAGCGTTTAACGTAATCCAGGCAACACATCTATAATTCTGCATTTACGCGGAAGACGAGAGGTACAGGAAAATCTAAGCATAGATGCCGATACTCGGATTTACCGCTCTTCACGAGGATTCAGAATTTCGCGAAGCAATGATAAACGAGCTATTATGATAATCACGATCAATATCAGAGAGAAAGGGAGTATGTGAGGGAGAATTATCCGAAATATATATAGTAAAGGTTAAATAGACGCGCGTAATGAATCGCACTGAATCTGAAATTTAAAAAATTTGATGACGTCAAGGCTTAGAAAAATGTCCTTTATCCGTAACATCAGGCTGCGATCGTATCACGTTTTAATTAGGCGCTTTAATTAGCTAAGAATAATATGGCTCCGTTTTACACGACGAACTGGATCGTGAGGCTCTCTTTTACATGCCAGAGCGAGAGAATGTTGTTGAACCGAAAGAGCATATATTCCCATCGGTCATACCAATTATTCTGTCGTCTCTTTCACGACGTATTCACAAAGGTAACACAAAGGTCGGAAGAGAATACTCGGATGTATTTTCATTCAACCTGTCTCTATTATAGAAAGTAGAGCTTACCCCCAAAGACGTAGCAATGTAGTTCCATTTGACCACCTTCTTCGTAAGGTCCGGCGACGTCTTTGATGGGATCTCCGCGTTCGTCGATAATATTCGGCTTCTGCGGTGGCACTGTAACAAGAGGAAAAAAATAAACAAATTTTTTTATTTATCGATCATAAAATATTTGAAATTTCATCAAATTAGACATTTTTCATCAACTTCTTCTTTATGTCAATATCATATCTTTAATCGTACCATGTTTTTCTTTAGCGTGACATATACATTTTAACCAGTCGTTTAATATACAACATCATATATAATTATAACGTAAGAACTTGATAAATATTTCATTCCTTCCCTATTTCTCGAGCCTTCATTTTCCGCATCGCGGCGCAATAAGGTATACCTACGTAAAAAAAAGTATCTTCCACCCTCACTTCGGAAATTTTGATTCGTTTGCTGTACGCGCGATTGTACAGATACACAGTTGGCGCAGCAGACCGTATCGCGTTCGAGTGGCTTCGAGTTTGACCGCCTCTGACATCGCTACGAGCTATTTAAGCGCAGATAGGAAACTTTCCATGTAAGTCAGCGGCGTCCGGGGAGGAGTAATTCACGATATACTCGTGCCACGAGTACCGCACGAATAGTCGAACAAGCAGGTGTACAGGTGTTACAGGTAACCGCTGGAAACTCGTACTACGGATGAGTGAGCCAGCACGAAGGCCATTCGCGGCTTTCGCCACAGAGTAGTTTGGCGAGCACTCGAATTCGAGAGACGAGGTAGAATAGTGGAAAAAGAAAAGGATTGACGCCTTCCAAAACAATATCCTACAATATCATGCCAACGAAAATTAAAAAAAAAAAAATATATATATATATATATATAGGTATATATCAATAACGTATAAAATGTTATTATGTCGCGCGTTCCTCTGAACTATTTCAGGATTTATATACACAAGCGCGCGGGATGCCTTTCAAATTACATATCAGCCGCGATCCTTTCAAGATAGCTCGCAACCTCTTATTATGTCGGTGTAATTCGGTACACCCATCGCGCGCGCAATAAAGCATTTTGCGTGCAAGGAAACAATGCGCGGCGAGGTATCAAAAGGGCACGTAAGGGGAGAGATCATGCGGTGTATAGTTTAGCTCCGACATGAGGTGGATGGGTGTAGAAGGTGGGCCTATCGTGACGTGTAAACGCTGGCAATTGAATATCGGAAATAGCGGCGTGTCGAAACGTCAGAAGGTGAGTAGCGGGCGTATTGCCTCGAAGATAGGCTGCAGTCGCGGCCGGGATGTCCGTCCAAACGAAGCGGGTTGCCCGATGAAAATTCACAATAGCGAAACGCGAAATCTCTCGGATGTAGAATCGATCGTTAACACGACCTGATTCCTGTAAAGCGGCGTTAGACGACGCGATATACAATTTTATATAATTAGGATTCTCCGAAAATTCGAAAAACTCGTCGAATTCGTATTTGATCCAATTTTCAAAGAGAGAATATAGTCGTTTTTTTCCCTTTCTTCTGTTATATTATTACGCGTAATTAAGAACACGGCTTTACACGGCTATAATGACCTTACATACCTCGTACATCGAGTTAAAGTTCAACCGTTCTACTTTATAATTATCCTCACGAACACACGTGTCCGAGCAGGACAAATTGAAGCGGTGAACCGGATAGGAAATAAACCGGATTAACATGGACGCGCCAAGTTAAGCCGTCGGTCACGATACCGTGCAAGTGAGAAAGTCCCGACGTGAAAACGTTATCCGATACCATCTGGAAATAGCGCCGAGTGAAGCACCTCTGAAAATAGGATTATACCGTATCCTCTATATTTTATATCGAGTATAATCGATACATTAGCGGATCCTTCGGTATTAACCGCAGCCACTCGCCTCTTAATACTCGCTAAATATCAGCTTTACATATGGACAATCGTTCGCAACACGGGCGAACTAAATTATCAAATCAAACTGACAAAATACTTGGATTCTGCAAGTGATGCGGGATTGTATTGTAGTGCGAATGATAATCTATTGTACGATATAATACATAGAACCATGTGTCTGTATACGCTTTGTAATACAATTTATCATTATAATATCAAATAATTTAACGTAATTCACGGTGAGAGCAAATCCCTTTGATCGATAGGAAAGCATTCAAGAACAATTGCCGGAGTAGAAAATTCTATTGTATGGGATAGGGATAATAATAATAATCATGATCAACTTTTAATGTATCATGATTTAAAATTAAAGGTATTTTTGCCCAGAAAAGAAATCCAAGTTAGAAATAACTCATAAGATAAGGATGATAATAATCAACTTTTAATTGATCATGTTCTAACTAAAACGAAAGACTTTCGCCCAGAAAAGAAATCAAAGTTAGAAATAACGTTACTGAATAATAACTGGGAGATTTCTTTATAGCAATTGAATTTATTTTCTACCGATTAAATTATTTTCGAATTTCATTTAATATAATAGTAATTTTGTATTTTATAAAGAATATACACATATATCTGAAACACATTATATATACGCATATATATATGTAATAATAATGTATTTTATTAATTTCTACGAAGCTTGAGAAATGATGTTTGCAGCATTTCTCTCGCTGGCGACTGGTTTCCATTGTTCACGAACTTCATAGAAGAACCAGGACATTTCCAACGAACATTTTCGCGTGACAAATGATATGCTGGAATTTAACGGGTTAATTTGTAGCACCTAAGTTTCAACATTGGCGGGAGTTGATATGCTCTCGCAAATTATGACGTTCGGTACGTGACACGGAAGAGGAATAGTTAGAGCGTATCGTTTCCGGATGCGAATGTATTTCGAAAATACGAAGATACATTTCTGCATCGGAGGATGAGCGCCGCAGGGACAAGCAACCGCAATTAATCCGTGCTGCTTCAAGAGTTAAGCCCTTTTCACGCGAGATACTTGTCGGAGGATTCAATATTCGGTATCTACTCACTGAAAATATACATCGGCTTGAAGCACATTTCATTCTCGCTCCGAATGTCTTGGGCGAAAATCGCAATTCTATTCATTTGTCCTTATACCTACATAAAATAACGCGATGTCAAAATGCAATATAAATGTAAAGCCATTACATCTACCATATATGCTACATACGCAATGGATTACATTAATAGTTTATTTATCGCGGATTGATATTATTCCGACGACGAGTGTTTCGTGCGAAAAAGCTTTTATCTCGCAATCTAACAGTAAGATTCCTCAGGGGAATGACCGCGCTAGTAGTTTTTTTCCGAAGGGTTACTACGTGAAACGAACATCCAGTAAATTGAGGAATCATGTAACGAAGTCTCTTTCCTGGAAAAGCGCTCTTTGCACGATCGCCGAAAGAAATGTCCAGTTTCGAAGTGGACGACGCTTTCGAAAAATCTCGTCTCTTTCCAGGATACATTAAGCTTTTCGAAGCGGCGCTTTAAACGGGGGGATCAAACGTTCTTTGTCGCAGGTAAATGGTGTTGCAACAACGACTACGAGAAAGGCAGATAAAAGAGACGTGAATTGTAATATAGAAAAGATACTGCGCAAGAAATTCTTTTTTCTTGAGATAAAGAGATAAACTCTTCTCCGATATTCTGTTATAATAATTTTTCTTTCAAGTATTACTTAATGACAATTGTACGATGAATCGTCGAATTTTTAGCATTTTTAAAATGATTATGAATGAAAGAAAAATACAATAGAAATTATTTCTTCAGGTATTAGTCAAAAGAAATGAAGAGGAACATGATAGTAGAAGTTTTGTTTTTCATCGACTGTAATATATATGTAAAGGTTCATTGATTATAGAAAAGATGTATAGATATGCAATTTAATGATTTGCTTTGAGTATTATTTTGTTTAATCAAAATTAATCTAATTAAATAGACGTAATATCAATAATAGATATGGATGATAGAATACGAAAAACACGCGAGGCAACCAACAGATACAATGAAGATTATATGTTTAACTATTCCAACTATGTGAAACTGACTAATGGAATTTGCTTGCATATACATATTGTTTCTCGTTGAACATGTATTTTCATAAATCGTGCATAATAGAATTCTATCGAAGTTCTACCGCTGTAATCAATAAATTATAATTTTGGCTGATGATGATAATGTTTATCATTATTTTAATATTCTTCAATAATTGTAATATAAAGTTATTCATTATTAGTCACAGATATATTTACATATAATATTAGTACGTATTATATAAAATATTATATGTAAAATATATGTGAAAAGAGCAATTTATTCATTAGCGCAATTATCTGCGTTAATCAATTCGTTCTAAAATATTAACAGAAATTAAAATTATATGATTGAACTTAGTCATATTAAAAAGTGATAAAAGTTTCAATAATCACTGTAAAGTAAGTTATATTAGTTTCGAGAATATAATGTAAATTATACTGACCGCATTACAAAATTAAATAGTCTCTAATTAAAGAGAAAATTAAATTTACTATAAGTACTCACGAATTAATCACGAATTTTTGGAAATGCAATATCTTTCGACGACTTATCAATTCCCTTTATAAATATATTAAATTGTTAAAATTTAAAAGTACAGAAAAGTGAATTAATACATTATTTTGGACTATATAAAATGTAGATTTTCTAATAGAATTTTTGTAAATGTATATTTCTCGAGCATGAGATATATATGCTATTAAATAGGATACAAACCTATCACTGTCAGTTGAATTCTGGAGTTTCTAGTCGGACTTGTAGTAAAGTCCACTCGGCACCTGAATTCGCCTTCGTCCTGTTCCTGTATGTGATTAACGCTCAAAGTAGCTGGATCCGTTGTTGTCCTAAAGAACGCCCGATCGTTGAGGTATTCTTTATCTTGCCAATGCGATGCTTTGTCCGAGTGCTTGCCACGTAAATCGTAACTGAAACAAATACATCATATTTTCACTTTATATAAATGCGAAAATATTCGATTCGTCATAAATATAATATCGCGAAATGAAGTTGATACATACATATATAAATATATATGAGAAAATACAAAAAGCGAAGGGAGAGATATATGTCTGCATATACTCCAAAGAGCGATATATCATCTCGTTTGTAACATATAAATGTCATGCTTATATAATATGAGATATCAAAACAACCATCTAATTTTTTTGTTATCTCTAATCATATTATATATGATAACATATTATATATGTCAACACAATTATTATTATTATATATAATAAATAATAACAACTTAATTGTACGTATATCGATATAATTTTTTAGCGCGAGGAGTAAATTCTTATCACGATTAAATTTCTGAAAGAGACAGTTCAGGTCAAATTCATAAGCTAATCTATTGTTCACAATATTTCACTGAAATAGATTATCTTTTCCGTAGACATATTTGAGCGTTTCTGTCAGTTTTCTTATAGGATTTTAAAAAAATACTAAATTTCTCCAAAAATCTATCGAATTCAGAAAGAGAAAAAGAGGAGAGAAGTAGTGTTTGCAATGCGATCTCTCGTATATAAGTGAAAATCGTATCACGAATAACATGTTCAGGCATGACTGCGCCATGTGTCACTTTATGTTTTTTTGCTATTCCACGTCGGAAGTATTATAGTAGGTCGCGATAAAAAAATAAAATAAAGCAAATGCAAAACTTCAGAACTGATATCGTAACAGAACGAGAATTTCGTTAACTCCCCCACTCTTTAACATATTGAACGTTTCGTGCAAATTTGACGTAGGCAAGTAAGTTGGATAATAGAGGACACTGTATGACGTATAGTAGAGAGTATAATTTCGTTAATTAATTTAATATGATATGTGTGCGCGCGCTTCTGTGAAATAAACTTTACATTTAAAACTTTATACACTAAATATTATATATACCGACAACCGTGTAATATATTTAATTAAATATGAATCTCGTCGTAAAAATCCCATTATTCTTGTTTCTCTTTACCACATATGTGTATGGTAGAGCAGAGGGAGATCATTATTTTTTAAATATTTTTTTATACAAATCTTATATAATTTTATAACACAGATTTTTACACGCGCAATATTTTTACATTAGAGTTCTATACGTAAACGCATAATGGGGTTCATATTTTTTGAAAAAAAAAATTAAAAATCACGCCTGCACGAATGTGTCTCTTTTTCACCCTGTTATATCCCCCGTCTTTTCTAACAAACGATGGTCGGGCTGCTAATTTTACATTCGAACGTGTCCTGTTGTCGCGTCGACGACGCAGAAAAAAAATCTACGCGTCGGGCTGTACACTCGGGGTGTTAATTAAGAATGTATCGGCCAGCCGGTCGTTCTTCCATACTCGAGAGGTCGCCGAGGAGGAAGCCGCGCTGCAACCGTCCAGACGGACACTTCACCGCAGATCGCCTCGCGGTGCGACCCAACCCCCGCATACCTCTCGCACCCCCTTCCACCCTCTCCTCCCCCCCACCCCACCCCCGGGACATCGGGAGAGCATCGAATTTGCGGAAATACCACGAGTGCCTCGCCTGGTACCAGCTTCGGCCGCGCGTAGGGACGGACGGCGAATCGGAGGAGGAGAACGAAGGGTTAAATGGCACGGCTGTAGGGCGCCAGCGAGGGAACGAGGTGGTTGGAGGGCGCCGTTGTACATTCCTCCGGTGTATTACGAGCCAGTACACCCACCAGCTGGCGAAGCGTGTACCCGCCGTCCGAGAGCGCGCGATCGCATGCTCTCCCATATGCCGAACAACAACGATGCGGTACTTCCGCGGACGCATTCCCTCGCTGGTTGCATCGAACACGTGTGTCGACGTAACACGTGTATGCACGCGCATTTACACACACGCGCGCGCGCGTGTAGTTGGCGGTAGGGAGGAGGTAGAAGGTAGAAGTTAACCGAAACATAGAAGTTGTCGCCGCGTAATAGCGCGAGCGAAACGTTAAAGCGAGAAACTGCGCTCCTGTATATACATATATTATATATATATATATATATATATATATATGTATACGTTTATATATAGGTGTGTGTAGCGTATGTGCATGCGGAACGGGCATCGTCCAGAGATCGGGGGTTTCAAACAACCGGCGGGCTGCTAGATAGGCCAGCAGAAACGATTACTTATACAGTACGGTGCGTCTGCAAATTGCACCGCACGTAGTACGTCGTTCGAAAGTTACAGGGTACCGTAAGGGCAGCACACGCGGACCGAGAAATGGCGTACACATTACCTCTTAAATTTGTCAGGGATACATGTACAGCGACGATTTTAAGTGTAACGCGCATCCTTCGCATTCTCTCTTTAATTGGGGACGCATATTTATCGTATGAGAAATGGAATAAATTAGAAATAGTGTCCTCGTATAAATATATTAAAATTATTGCGCTTCTCTCCGAGGTTGATTGTGTAAAGAAAAAAATGTGACAAAGTAATTACTACGATTAATAGGATCGCGGTATTTTAATCAAGCTTGTAATATTGCATATATTGTAAGGATACATGCTCGACTATCGATATTGCAAACGCATTGCAATGTCGTGTTAACGACGTTGCGCGTGATACACAGCAAGCGTATAACAGATTAGTGGTCGGACGTTCATATCGGGACGTGGTTATGCCTGTCATAAGCCAGGGCGACCAATTATAACGCGACATCTCTGCGCTCTCCGTCAGAACATACTACGTAACGTTTCCGGTTCCGAGTCGTGCTTCGCAATCGTGCGAGAAAGTTGGCGGAGAGTTTGAAATCAATCTCGCGTAAAGCAAAACACACACACACACACTGGGACTCGGTAATGAAAAGCCCACCGATATATCTGCATTGGAGCGAAATAAATTTTAACATCGCTAAACATTGTTTTCTATATGTATATCTCAGGCATGAATATCCATTTAAAAAAGAGAATATTTTAATAAGCCGCTACTTTTCTCCGATCGTGTTTAAAAAGAATGCGATCTCGTGTACCATCGCAATTTGAATTTTCATCGTGCTTAAAAATGAGATTCCGTTGTAGCCATCGGACTACCGGATACATAGCTGTGTGTACACTTTGTATCCCTCGGAATATGAAATCAGTGTATTAATGGAGGAGACACGATAGCTGCATAGCGTGTGATTATAGGATACGGTATAAAAAAAAAAGAAAAAAAAACAAGCGTATATTACAACACCGACGAGCGTTCAACAACGCGTCACGCACTATGATCGTTCGCCCGTGTAATAATTCACGTTAGATTTATGCTTTGTTAAAACTACGTTTTTTCATTGCGTTAATTTTTTTTATTTCTTTTTGAATTTAGTAATTATTTTTTTGTCCAATAAAGATATCGGTTTTCACCACAAAAAATAAATGTTCCTTTAATTATTTAACTGCATGTGCGATAGTATAAAAATGCATCTAATATATGGGTTTATGATTTTATATATTAGGAGTATTAAGAAAAAAATGTGCTCTTTGATAGAAATTTCCTTCGAACAAATTCGCGTTGACAATAGCATTACTGTATTTCGAAAATCGTTCAGAAGATTCATCAGAATTAGTAATATAGGTCAATGAAAGTAGTATAAGTCAATGAAAATTTTATAAGTCAATAAAAATACTATAATTTAATATATATTATAATAAAAATAAACAACATTAATTAATTTGGACATCATGATTAATAGGTTAAATGCAAAACAATAATATAGAATAATGATGTAATAAATATAAGTAGTATAGGTCAATGAAAGTAGTATAAATCAATGAAAGTAGTAAAGTCAATAAAAATACTATAATTCAATATACATAATAATAAAAATAAACAAAATTAATTAATTTGGACATCATGATTAATAGGTTAAATGCAAAACAATAATATAGAATAATGATGTAATAAATATAAGTAGTATAGGTCAATGAAAGTAGTATAAGTCAATGAAAGTAGTATAGGTCAATAAAAATACTATAATTCAATATACATAATAAGAAATAATAAATAATGTTAATTAATTTGGACATTATAATTCATAGATTAAACGTAAAAGGATAATATAAAATAATGGTTCAATAAATGTAAGTAGTATAAGTCAATGAGAAAGTAGTGTAGATCAATGAAAATATGATAAGTCAATAAAAATATTACAAGTAATTATACATATATAATAATAAATAATGGTGATATAAAATAATGGTTTAATGTAAGTTGATTTTCAAAAAAGACGTTTCTAAAGTTTAATGCAGATGCTTCGGCTTTGGATGAAGCTTAAGAAGGAATGCCCCAAGGAACGTTACAAAAATGCGCGTCTATTTAATGCCTATAAATTTACTATATATATATATATATATATATATATATATATATATATATATGGCAGCAAGAACTTCCGTTGGGGGAGTCTGTTTGCGCGCGGCATTTCCGAAACTACCGTGAAAGTTTCGAGCTCTCGAGTAGGAAAGGGGATGGTAGTTCGCAATGGTACGGCATGGTGTTGTAGCTACAGTGGGGTGGTTCGTCGTAAATTCCTACAAATACTGTAACAGGTCGACGCGCTCTATATAACGCTCGTCCGTCGTTATATTATGGCGCTGTACGTCGTTATGAATTTTATGATCCTGAGCGCGCAATAACTAATACGCGAATTTATAATCCTGCTCTCTTTTTCTCTTTGAATGGCGCCGCGGGCGTTTTGCGAAATTCGCGGCCCGCTCGCACGATCATTATACAGCTGGAAATTTTTATCTTACACGACGCGGACCGCTAGGAAAAGATGACGCTATTCAGCGTTAATGAGAAGCTTTCGTCCCTTCGAGTTTTCTATTACATAATAAAATGAAGTAAAGTACGCGCGATTTTAATCCACAGACACATTTTACCGGCGCTGCAAGTTCTCGACTTGAGAAAATTAAAATAATATTAATTAAAGTTTATTTTCAATTATCCAAAATGTATTTGTAAGTAATTTATATTCATGTATCTTTTTCAATTAGATGTATCTTCATGTTTACACGAGATACAATAATAATAATCTAATAATTTTAATTTCCCTCGTTCTTCACATTTTAATATATGTATCTAACAAATGTAAAATAGGCAGGATTGATTAAAACGGCTGACACACAGCAACTTTTAATTACGCTTTTGCATTAAGAAAAATATGCATTCAACAATGTATTAAACAATAATGCTAAAGAGTTTATCGAATACAGCCACACGTAACGCGCATATTTGTTCAAAATTTCTTGAATGCACATCGTATTAATATCCTATAATTCTACGACTTATCTGTGTGTCGCGATCGAACAAGATGGCGCTTGCATCAAATTCCGTTTGATCCTACCCGGAGAGGTATTAAATGGAAATCGTCGACAGATGCGTCCGGCCTGCAAGGTCGTAGACTCCCGCGAATTAATAACCAAAGATCCCTCTCGCAGATAGTTAATTAGGTTCAATACACTTTCTCTATATGTATCCATTTATCCGTCTTACGCATGAATTGCCGATTTCGTATTGCTTCGCTCGAACATCGGACGTGACGATCGTGCATCGTGCACGTTCTCGATACGTGGCTGCCCGATGCATAAAGGACGTGGCGGGGCTCGGTCGTTCGTTGTGTCCGCAATACACCGGAAGCCAATCCGATAGAATGCGCGGACAATGAGCTCCTCTCTCTGCCGGAGGAAGCTGGCGCCGTCGGCTTCGACGGTACGCGCGTCCCATTGATTGGTACGCGCAACGTACGGCCGGCTTGCCCTTTGTGCCCTACCTTGCTCTCGCGAGGTGCATTCACCTTGGTCATATTACGGTTTAATTGAAGTTGATGCCGGCCGCTTGTAAAGGCCCCGGACGATATATCGCGCCCGGGGATCTTGGGAAATGTAATTCGCGAGATTAAAGTGGAACGCGGTCAAAGGATGTTAATCATTTTTAGTGCCGAAATTGTCCCACTCTTTTTTTTTTTCGTACGCTTTAATCAGTCGATCGAACCAGTCGATTCGGGGCTGATGAATGCGAGGAAAATATCATTCTTGCGCGGAATATTTTTCTGCGACTTCTTAAACATCTCGGGAAGATATTGCAAGATATAACAAATTATATATATATATATATATATATGTTTGCACAACATGTCCATTTCTAATATGAAGTAATAATTGTACTTTAAAAATATGTTTTTTATGTTGGAAATTTTATTTTTATACAATGTTGTTCATCCCGACTAATTTTTCGCATGCTTCGATTGTTTATACGAGATTGTCATGATAACGATTTATCGATATGAAACGGCTTCAGTAACTATTGAATGCCGCAACGTCCAATATATCGAAAATCCGATTAAATCGAAAACGTCAATGAATCAATTTAATCGAAATAGGCAAAAATACGATTGTCTTTTCGATTATTTGAGTAATTCGATTTCGGGAACTGAACGGTTTCCCGACTAATCATTTATCAAATAAGCTCAGCTCTAGAGACAAATTCGGATAGAATAACAATTAAATGAATCTGTAACAAAGCGTTCGTTAAAATTTTCATCAAGAACTTAAATGTAAATTCACATTTCTATTAGTCCTCATATTAAAACAGCGACAAATGTCTTATTTAAAAAAAAAACACATGTTTTGTATATATCTTGATGCAATATTTAACTTTAAATAACTAGCAAATTATTCTGAACCAAATTTTCTTGACAGTCGGCGGCTCGAAGTTTCTCAAGGCGATCTCATCAGTCTATATATAAATCCGCTGCGCACTCTTAACGCGCGGCGGCCGTTTCAGTGGTTCGGAATCATTATTCTCGGACGTCCCTTCGGCGAGAGCTCGTAAAAATGGATCCTTATCGGCGCGGAGAAACCGAGAGAAAGCTCTCCGGATATTCAATTAAAGCGAGCCGCTCATACGCGTCTAGATGCACCGGCGCGGCGCAGCAATGCAGACGGTTTCCTCCTTCCCGCATGCACACGCATGCCGCTTGCACACAACCTGCGTCCTCTTATCGATTTCGCGATATCGGCGGGACGCGGCGCGCCGGTCTATGGCAATTTCCGCGGCTCTCGTATCCATTTGAATAGCTAGGATAACTTCGGGAGCTAACGTCGACGGGTAGAGTATATTACCCGCGCGCGCGATCGGTATTCTGGCACTCTCTCGGCCAAACTACTTCCGATCGAGGATGGGGTATATGGAAGGGCTGGCGAGAGGCGGGCCTTGGAATTCATCGGCTGCCGAGGCGCGTTAAGCGTATCGCTTCCGTTCATCCGGAAACAGCTTCGATATAAATCGAGGCCATTTCTGCCGAAATGAACTCGTTGCGCTCTGAATTCCGTACATATTTCTCGCACGTCTCTTTCCGAGTTTCATATTTTTGTGAAATCGTCCGATTAGGTACGTGTCCTCCCCGAATCTCGCAATCGCGCAATCGGAAACTAATTCAGAAAGGGCAATCCATTGCGAGCGAATTACGAGAACAAGAAAAAATGACGCGCAGTTTGAAAATATGAACTTTTCGTTAAATTGTAACAGATAAGGGATGGATGAAATTCAAGAATCTGATTTAACGCAACGTTGGGCAGAAGGCTACAAATTTACGCAAATCGGTAGAATTGTAAGGTTCATATTTTTTCACGTCGTATATATTGTGAAAAAAAAATGTTCAAAGGCACACAAAGACGCTGATTATATAGAGACTTACTAAAATCTGTCAAACATGCGAACGTGCTATAACCATATAATCGCGGATACAGGCATTGCCTACGATGCTAATCTCAAAAGGGCAAAAGCGCATAAAGGCTGCTTTTAGGTACTTGACGTTTAAGTACGTTGCATGCCGCGTGCATGATCCGATATTGACGACGCAACACTGAATTTTAATTGCTCCGATGGTCAGATTAAGCGTTTCAATTTTTCTCGGGATTTTCGCGTGAAATGAATGGCAGATATTCGACGTACTGCAGAAGCGCCACTGCTTCTCGACGTTGCCGAGAATGTCGAGAAATTTCAATTAAACTAGCGCTGGATGCCACCACGCTGCGACGCTGCGCTCGATCAAGAAGCTTCTATCGATTTTGAACACACACACACACACACATATATATATATATATATATATACATATAGAATGTCTCTAATCACGTTCGCTTCGCGAACATTTAAATCGGCTGTATTTAGAGAAATATATTCGCTAATCTTTTAACGCGAGAGGAAATTAAAGTCAATCGCTTATTGAACAAAACCGACAAGCTTAACGCTATTTTGGAAAAGTTTCGCAAACACGTTTGAGACCAGAGAGATTTCCTCCCGCCTATTATTTCTTCCGGTAAACTCGCAGCGCAGTGTCTATCGTCGAAAGGAAGTGAGATTCAGAGGCAGCAACGTTGTACGCGCATAAACTATGTAACACGACAGTCTCTTCAGGACAATTTCGAGTATTCGTGTGTTGTCAGAGTGCCGTGTGCAGGAATTTTGCATCGCCGTTAGCGGCACCAACACCCGCCAACTATTACCGCCACCGTGTTCCCAGCGACAGTAGTAACAGCGGCAGCAGGAACGTCACTTCTATCTTCTCTCCTTCGGGCAACTACTCGGGGAAGCGATTTGCATATTCATTAAACACCCGCAGAGCCTACATATAGGCACCGCTCGCTTCGCACCTTCGCTCATCTACGCTCGGAACACTTTTGCACCTCTCGCTCGATGCTCTCTTTCGAAAAGGAAGACGGAGGAAGAGCCCCGACAAGTGCATACGGATGGGTCTGTCATCGGGGCTGGGTAAGAACCGGGCCGTCTGTCGTTAACGAGCGAAATTTAAGACGTATATTTGCATTCGGACCCACTTGGCGCAAGTTGATAACGACTGGATCCGTCGGCCTCGCGCTAGAATAATGTACGTTCGCGGCAGTATACTTGCAAGTACCAAGGGTGTACGGTAAGAACGCGCTTTCTATCTCCCTACGACACGTCGCAAGTAGCTCCACGCCTTTCGAGAGCTACCGCTCGCCTCTGTTCGTAATTAATTCCGGGGGAGGCTTGCAGCACGTATCGGAAGCGAAAGAGCGAGGCGTGCCAAATGGAGAACAACGAGGTGCCAGGAGGTGGGCGTGAGAAAAAGTACGAGAGAGAGAGAGAGAAGAAGAAGAGCCGACTTTCTAGCCCCGTAAGAGTTCTACGACGATGCCAGTCGGCGAACACCAGCGCCGAATTATGCATTTTCTTGTCGTCCCGTCGAATAAGAGCCAACTGAATATTAATGCCACCGGTGTAATAGTTTGTAAACTAGGTCTCCGGCTGTTAGGGGGATCGTCGTCTCCCGTCGTTAGTGCGCATAAATGTGCGCCCGTGGGCGCCGTCCGCGGAATACGACATCGCGGCGAATGACTGATATCGTCGAGCCCCGAGGAGTACCGAGAAGATGAGTAATTAGATAAACAGACAGAAATTTATTTGGAACCTCTCTGAGAGAAACGATTAAGTTCTTTTAGATTCTTAATCAGATTTAGAATAATTAGAATGGAAATAAATAGCTCGAGTAAAAAGCTGTACGTGTAATTAGCAATTTCTAACGTGTAACATGATTGAAAATTGCCTCTTGTATAGGAAATCATGTTTCAAACATATAGTAAATATGTACATCTTTGTCGATATATGTATAACAGATAAATGCGATGAAAGGAAGATAGTAAAAAAAGTCAAAACTATTTGCTGCAAATAAATTCGCAAGAATCTTCTATACTTTTATATTAATATATGAAGAGGTAAAATTTGTTTGTTCCATTGTTCGGGAAAAAAATCTTTCACTGATGGCTAGCTTAGTTAGAAGTTTCCCAAGTAATCTATATAGATTATAAAGTTCGGCGCATTCAATAATCATTTTTTGAATTAATTTGAACGCTGCTATAATTTAGATTTTATATTTGTATGTTACAGACAAGCTTGAACATCAACAACTCAGTTGTGCATCGGTGTCGGTGAGTGAGATAAATTTGATTTCATTTTGAGGTAACGGATTTAGAAATCGTAGTTATAGATTATTGTAGATACATTCGTTACCTTAAAAGGATGGACTAGAATTAATTAGATACAAGTGTAAATTAAAGTATAAATTAAAGAATGATATAAAGAATTTCAATTCAGATTTTACTTATTTATTTTATTTAAAGAACACGCTTGTGATTTTATTAATTGTACATAATAACAATTGCGTTATATATAAAAATAACTTATTCCATTAACAAACATTGATTATCTAATTTTTTATAGTCTATCCATCTATGTAGTGTGATATACAAAAAACACTTTACTTTGATTAATGTAAATCCAAGTTATCGGTAAATAATGTATACGATATGAATTTTTAATGAATTTTATTTTATTATAAATTTATTATAAATTTTATTATAAATACTATTATATATATATATATGATTATTATTATTAGAAAAATATGCAACTATTTTAATGAATCGGCGTTACGTTAATTAAAGCAAAATCAAATTCAACGATTACGAAAAACAATCGTAATTTCTTACGATTATATCCGAGCGTAAAATTGATCGATTTTTAAAAGAACTGTGTATATTTAACGTAGATTAAAAATAGGGCTTTCGCTTTAATATCTTTATACTCGATTTTATTTCCGTTTGAAATTGTCACAAATTATTAACACAAAGTTAAACTTTAATTAACAAATTATTAATTTCTTCCATGTAACCTAGACTAAAAAGGAAAAAAGAGAGAGAGAGAGAGAGAGAGAGGGAAAGAGATAAAACCGATAGATAATTCTAGTCTACAAACTGGACAGCAATGAAGAGTTGATCACAATTCCGCCGCTCATTGTCGAGGATTACGAGTGTTCTGAGCGGCGAGAATGGGTCCGGAGACGTATCAACTCGTCGTAGATCCACGGGTTGATGACGGGACCGAAGTCGACGTGTTAATGTGGCCTGGGAGTGGCGGCTTAACGATCGTCCTCGAGAATAATGTAGGATAGAGCGGAGACGATAAGTGGAGATCCTGATGACGTTCGTACCTCTACGTACACACGAACAATACGGCGAATCTCCCTCTCTCTCTGTGCTCGTACACTCGCAAGCTTGGAAGAAACACGTACACGGTATGTGTACGCGGTAATTCGAAAGTTTCCGGTCGTTTACAGCGCGCGGGCCGCCCTTTGCGGTTTCTAGGGCAGCGCGCCGTACCAGGGTAGATCCGTCTCTCTCAACCGGGAAAACGTGACGGCCCAAACTACTCGTGAAAGTTCAACCCGGCGTAAACTCATCATACACATTCGGCGGGGAAAGCTCGCCAATGCAACATTTTTAAGATGAAACTGGGATTTTCTTCGAGAGAAATGCGAAATGCTGGTTTATCGAAAAAGAGATAGAATCGCGCGGGTAGAAAATCTTCCCGGAATAAATAAACGTCAGATTTTTACAATCACAACTCTCACCGGGTATATATTCCCCTTTGACATATAGCGTTTAAATTATGTGCATGCGATCGTCGCTATTAATGGAACGAAATTAAAAAGAGAATTTCTACTGTTTTACAGTCGTATCGAACGCGAGTAGCAGCGTGCGAAAAAAAATGTTTACCATGACATAAAAAAAATGAATATTCCATCATCAGGTATCAATCACAGTATGACACAGTATAGCGACTTGTCCGCGGGCAAAGTAATGGAAAATAAAGAGCAAGCGGTCTCTCGATGTATGTAGGTATAAAGTATCCGAGTCTCGCTAACGTACGGTGCATTAATAACGCGTAAATAAATATACGCGACACGTAAAACAAATCGTTTGTCATACGCGCAACTCGGACGAAACAAGGACTCTCTTTTACGTCACGGTAACGTAATAACGTCGCTCACTCACCGTGGAGAACATAGATGTAATAATGTCTGTCCGAAAGCACAATACAAACCATGCAAATGTGCTATTATTATTATGCAGCATGGTATGGCAACGGCATTAACTACAAACACCAATTTTACCCATAAAACTTGTCTCTTGTTTACGATATAGAGAGCACTCTATAAAAATATATGCGAATGTATGTAATTCGGACGTTATTTAATCCGATCTAAATAAATAAATATAAATATGTGTGTGTGTGTGTGTGTGTGTGTGTGTGTGTGTGTGTATGAGATAAAATCTGACAAATTTTTTATAAAATGTATTAGACATTTTTTTCATAATCGAGTAGATCTTTATGTTGCATATATTCCAAAATAATAACTTGAAAATTTATAAATGATAATCCTTAAGAGTCGTTCGTTGAAAATTTATCATTAATTCTAAATAAAAAAATTATCATTGGGTCACATGATTATTTTATTTTTTACTGAACAATATTCGAACTTTTTCGAACGTGAACATAAAGAAAAGAAATGAAGAAAGAAAAGTGAGGCTGTGTTGTCGGAAAATGAAGAGTTATTTGTAAAAAGGAAAAGAATAGAGAGAAAAAGAAAGAGAGAGAGAGAGAGAGAGAGAGAGAGAGAGAGAGAGAGAGAGAGAGAGAGCAGCGATGCAGAAATAGGAGATGAATAATGGGCGTCGCGCCGTATGGATTGTTCGACTGTCGCCAGGAACGAAACACGAGAGAGTATGCTGGAATACGGCGGAAAGAGACGAGGAAGAGACAGCAGCGGGGCATAAGAGATGGATAATATGGAGGTATAGGAAATGGGATTGCAAATGAGGGAAGCCACGTAGCTCCGTTCACGTTCAAAACCATGGATTGAACGTTATCGACAAACGGATGCTCTTATTATCTTATAAACCGTAATGCGTGCAGAAATCCGGTCTCTTGCGTTTGTACTCGTGTATTAAGCAGCTGGAAAGAAACTATTGCAAATTGTCGAAATTACCGTAACAACACCGCGATAACTTGAGCCACGTGTCGGCATTAGACAGTTATCTGTCAACGAAAATGCAATGAACTTCATAGTCTTCGATTTTTGTCAATTCACTGACTACTTCCAGTATTTCGAAGAAACGATTTTTAACAAAACAATTCTTATACCTGTCCTCGACAAGAAATTTAGGACGTCGAGAAATATAAAAAATTAGATATGCACATACACATATATATAATAATCGACGAATTGTATGCGTATATTTATCTATTTTAAACGGATAATATCAAATATTCTGAGATCAATAGATCTGAGATCAAATATCGTGTTTACGTTATTTACTTCTATTTTACAATAACGTTATTTACACGATCTAATCAATTACTTTTTAGACCAATTAACTCACCTTTATTGGCCATAATTATTCTGGCTAATTTAGTCAGAGATGTAACTTTGACCTCTGAGAGATCTCAATAAAGGAGAGAAATTTCTTCCATTTCCTAATTATCATCGCCGCTGCATGAACGTAATTCTATTCAACAAAATTATCCTTCGATATCTCCTAATTGTATATTTGAAGTATATTTATAATCTTGTGATCTATATACATCACATTAATCAAAACTGTATGATAACTTTGCGTAGTTTAAAACTGTAATTTCTCGAAAGAAGTTTCAAGGAAAATATTAAAGAGCCTCTACTTATAAGTTATGTATTTTTCAGGATTCTCTTAATAGTTGTGGATTTTAAATGCAAACTCCTCCAAATTTTTTATTATAAATTTGTTTTTAAAGAGTGACAATTTTCAATTAATTCTCCATTATTCGTAAATACACGTATTTTAAAAAGGTCATTAATTTTATTTTTAGCGCTCTTACTGATTCTATCACATTTCCTTTTCCATACTCCCCTTTCGCGCGTTAGGTAGATATCAGTAATTTGGAAATTGGAGCACTATATTAAACGTGTTAATTGATAATGGAACGTTGATATCTAACAGATCAGGCAACAGTACATGATAGTAAGCTCCGATTACTTTGTATTACAGTATTATACCGATCAGATTTCTGTTTACATTAGGAAATACAAATGCTGTGTGTGAATTTTAAGTATTAGATTACTAGAGCAAAAATATCTCTCTGTTATTCTCCCGGTATCATTTCTCCCATTTCTGTACTATTGACTGAGATCAATCGTCATAATTACGATCATTAATTATTTGCGCAATTGATTTACTATAGCGCACATTGTTAGCAGAAATAATAGGCACTCGAAAATATTGAGTATCTCTTTCCCGAATGATTTTAGTTTCCGATAAAACTGATATAAACATAAATTGGCATTTGATCCGTGCTGAGAGTTCGATGTAGTTTCAATAATCATGCGATATATATTTTCGGCTGAAAAATATCCGGGATTCAACAATTCGTTTCATCGGGATTATGACTGGCATATATTCCAAATAATTTGCACAACTTTAATTCATACTAATAACGGATCGGCGTTGAAGCTCAAGCCTGTTATATCGCGGACGTTGTTGCGTTTATCTCGCGGCGTTTACCTGTTGCCGGAAAATGCGCGCGTTCGGTCGCGGAAATTACTCCGAATTATCCCGAAGCAACAGCTGCCGAGGCGTAAAGGCGTGATTATTCATTGCTGTGACCAACAGCTATACAGTTATGATTTCGCGTCTTCGCCTCCAAGTCCGCAGTTATTCGAGGAGAAAATCGTGAAAGAACCGCGAGGGATAGACCCGTTTGATCGCGTTTGATACAACGAGCCTTTAATTTCGTGTGCGAGTGGAAGGGGAATAATCTAATAACTTTCTCCCTCTCTCTTTTTCTCCTCGTCTCGCTCTCTCCTAGATCGTCTCTATTCACTTGCACGCCTAATACGATGGTAATTAACTCGCAAATTACGAGATCGTGGCGCGTTGGAACTTTCCGCGGTTCCAGATCGAGACTCGAACATCGTAGGTTTCTAACTAGGAAATAAGGAGAAGGAGGGCAGTAAGGTAGAGGAATCGCTTTAAAAGCCCGCAGATGCGTGTGATCGATATATAAGGAGTTCCCTGTCAACAAACGGTCTAAAGATATTTCTCGTGATTACATA